AATATATTGTGCTAAATAGGTAAAGAAATATAATATTAAAAAATAGGTTTATTAATTGAATTTGGTTACAAAATTATGAAATCCAGCAATGTAACAATTTAAGAAAAGAAAATCTATTTGGACGGGAAATTATATTATTGTTGCATATCCTTTGTCAACACAATCAGACATTTAAACAAAATTTTAAATTAATAAATTTCAAAATAAAATTAATTTATCACACTCTTGAATCGGACTGCCCACCTGAAAATTTTATTGTAGCGGAAAAAATTAGCTTTACCCACCTATGTTCACCCATTGGAGGTGAAAGTGCTATATTTCATTTCAAAGATGAATTTCTTGTCAAATTCAATAGAATGAAAAATATTTTAAAACATTTACCTGCTCATAAGGTATTTATTTAAATATTTTTTATTCATTCCTAAAATTTCATGTCACTTGAAATATTATTAGACCTTGAGATTTATTATAAAAAAATATCAAATTCTCTTCACTCTTCATTATGCAAGCTGCCCTTCCACCAAAGCTAGGTGGTATAGGTATCCATTCTCCCATCTCCTTAAGCATTTCAGCCTTTTTATCCTCAGTTGCTAAATTTCCATACAGACTTGGATATTTGGATACTATCGAATCCACATCATATGGCAGCTTAAACCTCTGGAGCAAAGATTCTCCAAGCCGTTCATATCCAAATTTAAAACAAAGAGACTGGAATTTACCATTGATACAGCATTGCGTGCTTATACTTCAAAGCTGTTCAAAGAAAATCTCCATCGCTCTTTCTCCCCTTAAATCCAACCCCGAGTATACAGAATGACAACAATAGGACTCTTTTACTGTATCAAATAATTCCAGCCTCAGCCATATGCCACCCTACGAATGGTTAGACACTATACCTCTAATTTAGGCTTGTTTATTAACCAACGAAGAACTTAGAATATCTATAGGTCTTCGTTTTGTGAAATCGTAACGCCAACACCATGTGTCCCTTGTGAAACTCATATCGATAGCCTTAGATACCCCCCCCCCCCCCATACTGTCGTTTTTCATGAGGCAAATTATCCAGGCACCATGCCATCAATTCGATCATCAATAGAATTTTGAAATCCGCAAATATTCCTTCTACCTGGAACCCCCTGGCTTCAGCCCTGATGGAATGACGCTAGTCCCTTGGGACCAAGGTATACCCTTCGCTTGGGATTATACATGTATAGATCGTTTTGCCAGATCCTTTTATTTCAACTCTATCACGAAAGCTCAATATACAAAAACAAATAAATATAGCCACCTTAATAATATTTTAGCCCTAAAATAATCAAAACAATAGGGCAAAGGTTACGTTTAATCACAGGTGATCCAAAAAGGCTTCTACCTACGACAAAGAATATGTATATCTATACATGGGTCATTAAGCCCCGCCGGCCAAACCCAAATATATTATTTAATTTAATTTCTCTTCTTTTATTATATATTTTTACATAGAATATAGATATAGTATTATAATTTTAATAAATAGTAAAAAAACATATTAAAAATAAAATTAATTACTGGAATATATTATTTAGATTTATACCAGAGTCTTTTAAAAGTAGCGCGCTACCGCTATTGCTATTTGTCAAAAAAAGGTAGCTCGCTATTAGCTGCTATTTTGTAGCTTTAGCTACTTTTAGGCTACTTTTTATAAAAAAAATTTAGAAACAATTTTTTTTTATTTTGCATATAATGTAATTGTATAGTAAATCTAAATAATATATAAAAATCAACATTTATAAATATTAAAATTTAGTTAATTTTGATTATAAAAAAAATTTATGTAATAAATTTTAAATATTTATGGTAATTTGTTGAATTTTAATAATAAAATCATTTCAATATTATCATCCCCAAGTCTAGAGCGACGATCAGAAAATATCAGTTTTGCCTTACTAAATAATCTCACGACACTAGCACTTGAGGGCAAGAGATTATTTAATCTTATATACATTGTTGTGTCCAACCATCAGCCGTGGTACATATATGAGATATCTCTGATAATTCTACTATTAAAGCATCTTTCATCACTTTAAACTTATTTGCTATTTTATTCACAAGTGTCTGGCGACATAGTTATACTAATCATAGTAAATGATGGATTATCAACCAAGGACATTGGCTGAACTGTATAAATTATAAAATCCACAATAACTTTATCAGTTAATTTCTGAGAAATATTGGCATTTGTATTATTAATTAATTTTGTCTGAATGGAATTAGTCTTTTTGGATGTAGATTCACCTATGCCAAAGTTATTTAAATGTTGTTTAATTTCCTTAAAACTATTAGCATGAACAGTCTTTTAAAATAAATATTATTATTTTATGTAAAAATGATAATTTACCTTTAGGTGTTTCTTGGTTATAGCTACTGGATTGATTTGAGGAAATATTTTTTTTACATTTTAAACATAAATTTGAAGTCAGTTTTTGTTTTAATATTTATCTTGAAAAATTTTTGAAATCTAGGGATGGGAAAGTATTTCTATGAATATCATTTTTATCCCTGGTATCTTCCATTTCATTAATATCATTGTCTGACTCTGAATCACTTTCAACGATTTGGATATCCATATGCGATGCCATTTTAAATTATTAACAGGTGATTTAGGTTTATAATACAAATTGAAAATATATTTCAATTTCAAAATTAAATAATAAATTATAAAAATTATAATTAATTATGGTATTATATTTAAATTTTCGTGCTTATAGTTATATTCATTATATTTTTTATAAGTAGCTAGCTACTTAGCTACTTTTAAAAAAGGTGGCGCGCTAAAAAATTAAATAATTTCAAAAAAAGTAGCCGCTATTAGCTATAGCTACCAAAAAAGATAGCGCGCTACTTTAACAACTCTGATTTATATATACATATATATTTTTAAAAGTAGTTACTTTTGACAGTAACATTTCAAAAAATATATCTAGTTACAGTTACTAGTTACATTTTTTTAAATATAACTAGTTACAGTTATATTTTAGCGAAAATGTAGTTAGTTATAGGTAACTAGTTACTTTAACAAAACTAGTCTAAATGAATGCCTTTACTTTATTATTTGAAAAAAATATTTGACAAGAGGGTGGGGTATTTAGTTTATTTAACACTTTGGTTAATTTAATTACTTAGCTAAATAATTTTTAGTATTTTAATTTAGCATAATATAAAAATAAAAGAATGCTTATTTACTATTTGACGCTAAACATTTCTTAAAACGCTGATAAAATTCGCCAACTAATTTCTAGATTATTTATCCAAAAAATAAATAATTTGATTCCTCATTCTTATATGCTTCACAATATTCCTTATTTCAAAACTTATTAAAATCCAATTTATATGTTGGCGAATTCTAAGTTATTACTCGGCTTTCAGAAAATTATTCATTTGTAATGCAGGACCATGCATAAAGATTTCATTTGACCAATAGTCGGGCCACTACTTTTTATGATATATCTTAAGACGGCTTAATTAAACTAGTAAATTTTGTTGTTATATTAGATTGTTTAAAACACAACGCATGTGCATTTTATTTATTCCAAATAAAATTGATCTCATTCTTTAAAGAAAGGGCAGAGTAGCCAAAGTTCATTATTTTTCTGATTGAGCAGTTGCCTAATATAAAAATTAAAAAAACTTTATTAACCTTTACAATCATGGAAATGATTTTGTGATAAAGGCTGAGTGGCTTATTTGCACCACTTCTGGTAAAAGCCCCTGCGACAGTTTCGGGAGCATTAGTAAACTGTTAGCAGCTCAAACTAGCTTGCAAAGTTCATATGATCATATATTGACAACAATGGATTTATATAACTATGCAAGAATTAATATCAGAGGAATAAATTATATATTTTATAGCAATGATGAATATCTAAGTATTAAATATCATCTTAAAAATAAGTTTTAAACAGTAAAATAAATTTCTGGAACACAAAATTTTGTACTCTCATCCACTAGGAGAAAATAAAATGAAAGTGAAAATTTATTCAAATTCTTCAGATGAATTAATATATGATATATTTTAAAATTTTAATATAATATAAATTTTTGATTATATTACGTAATTATAGAAATTATTTTGACAAATGTTTTAAATATGTTTAAAATTTTGCCACGTTATTTTAATAGAAAATTTAACTAAAGTGTTAAATAAACCACATTGCTTCCCCCACCACCTCTCAAATAATTTTTTTAAATAATAAAGTTAGGACCTTTCAATTAAGCATAATCTTTAAATATAGACCTACGTTCAGCCCAGTCTAAGATTTTATACAAATATATATAATAATATACAGAAAAAATACCTATTTTCTACGGTCATTTTCGGTTTTGTACTTCCGGTTTATGATATTAATCGGGTGTCTATCACATTTTTTTAATGTCATATTAAAGATCTATTATTAAGCTATATAATAAAATTTAAATTCTTGCTCTTACTTAATTTATTCTTGAGATATTTGAATATGGTATTCACCATATATATAATAATTAATAAATTGTACCTTTAAATATAAAATATTATGTTAGCATAAACTACATTATTTGCATTAATTTTTTTATTTCATTAGGACGCGTCCGATACCAGGTCCCCTCCATTTACCCAAAAGCAGTCCATCATTTAGGATGCGTCCACCCCCCCCCCTCTAACAATAAAGACCAGTACAGATGAATCGTCACTATTTGTGATTTATTGACCTTTATAGCAATTAGTGCTGTTAGCTTATTTAAAAAGTAACTGCGTTACATTTCCCATTACTCTATTATAATATTAACATCGTTACAACTACTTTCTTAAAAGGTAACGACAACCCAATTCATTCCCTATATCTATTTGGTTTCCTGCATGTAAAAAACAAATAAAAATTGAAATTTTTTCCCATATTTTGGATCATTTGATGGTAAACTACATATATCAATTTTTTATGGAAAAAGAAGGCCATTAATTTTAATTTTACCTACAATAAATTTAGTTTTCAAGCTCAAGTAATGGGTGAATACAGAACGTGCTTCAATAACATTCGTGATAATAGGCGAAAGGCTGTTTATTTCGAAATTTTGATTGATGGAAGAGAGTCGGATGACATTCTTCATGAACAAAATATCAATAAATTCATCCTCGCGGCCGAAGATCCGTTCCATTACCGAATAGAAAATGCTACGGTCTCTTTTTTAATTAAGATATAGCTTGAATAATTTGACGAATATTTTTTGATAAGCCATTGAGAAATAAAAATAACTTACATTTATTTTTACTATTTAGAATCAGAAGAAACAGCTTTTATCTAGTTACTAAAATATTTTTAGATGGTTATATTTTGAATAAAATTTTAAAAGCAAAACTTCTCCCTTTGCTTCTTTTTTTTTAAAATTATAAGCCATTGTTGGAATAATAAGATATACCGTTTTACCTATAATAATGTGGCGAAAGAAATAAGTGTAGTGCTAGTAGAATTATTGTGAACCATCTTCATTGATGACTATTGTTTGTTTTTTAATTGATACGATTTTATTACACTAAAAATGTAGATATTTTTTTATTAATATATAATTCTATTTGTTTAGTTTACTTGAAATTTAGATTTAAAAGTACCTATTTAAAAATCGGTATCTTATAGGTTTTAAAAATCAACTGAACCAATTTTTAACTTAAAAGGTCAATATCAACGCCCATCCTATTCCGATTTTAATATTGGTGCTCCCGAAATATATAATTTTGTCATATTTCGAAATTAATCTTTTTTTTTTCTCGCATACTTTAAAATTAAAATTTGGTAAATGATCATTATAAGAAAAAATTGACCTCTTTGTGTTGTATGGTTAACTCACACAGAGAGTCATCTATACTAGGTTTTGGTATAAATATTAATTTGTTAAGGTTTTATTCTTATTCTCTAATTGATTTTTTTATAGAACCGACTGAACGGCTTGAAGAATCAATTGGACCTTAGTTTGCACATTATTACTCTTCGCAGGATTATGGAGACACGAGATAAAAACATTTTGGAGCATAATCTTTCCTTAGTTAATCGATGGTCTTTCATAAATTTGGCGATCCTACTCACCGTTTCAGTTATACAAGTCATTATGATAAGGAGTTTATTCGACAATCAGAGCAAAATCAGGAAAATTCTTAAATCCAAGACTTCATGGTGAAATCAATTTTGGAGCCGCTATAACGTAAAAATTGTAAATGTGAGTGTAAACAGAAATCATATTTATTATATATTTATCTAGAGATCTAAATGTATATAGTTTAATATTATGTTAGGTATTATAGAAATTATTGTGATTGTCTAATTTTTAAGTAACAATCAATGACTCCTTTTTAGGTACAAAGCTAGCGGGGGATGAATCCTTCCCATAGCAAATTTTTGAAAAAATATAAAAAGGGTTAGGCGCGTAGCCAATGGGGGTGGGAAAAGAAAAGAAATCCCCCTACCCGTAGCTCGTTTTCTAAAAAATATAAAAGTGCTTCATGAATTGTGAATTACATATTTCAAATGGGTTATATTCTATTCTAAATATTAACAATAAGTTAAAATTAATTTTAATATTTATTCCTTGTATATTAATATTTTATCCCACGAAAATTTGTTTTCTTACATTTTTTAAATCTTAAACTGATGGATAAGAAAATTTTATCAACCGAAAAAAATCTATTTAATTTATTTTCATTAATAACTATGATAAAATTTATAGAGTGTATGAAATGTTTAGATGTCTTCATTGACAGAATTTTCTGGATATAATATTTCTGAGACACATCTTGTTCTACAGAAAAAAAACAGCAAAAAGCCTACATAACAAGATGGAGCCTTCGACATCAAGTTGTTACAGGTTTTTTGGATCTAGATGAGGTTATTTTGTATGTATTGAACTGGGAGAAAAGTTCAATTTAGAATAATTTTGATTTAGAATAATTTTGAATATATTATTGAGCAATGGTGTAAAAGTTCAATTTAGAATAATTAAATATATCTTTTATTTATATAATTTAAAAAGAAAGAATTACAAGTTATTATAATACAAGCAAAAAAATAAGTAATTTTAAATAAAAATATATATATTTATATATATATTCTGTTGCCTTAAGATATATAACTAAACTTTTAAATATAATTATTTGAATATAACTGACATTTTAAATATAAGTAATAAAATAATAGCGTACAATAGCGCACATGCAACAGTATGTCCTTCTAGAAATATCAGAATCATCTGAAACAGATATTTCGCCTGAAGCGGATTCATTATTAGATTTAATATGACTGCCAATTTTTCATTGGAATATATTATCTATTATATTACAGTTTTTGCAATATTTTTCACAAAAATGGATTTGGCTGAAGTTTTGCGAATATTATCATATTACAACTTAGAAATTCCAAAGATAATATCCACCAGGAATTTTTCAAGATTTATGTGATTGTTGAGGTGAAAGCGAAATTATATGATTTTGAGATTCATACGCCTCTACTTTCACCGACAAACAAACCGCTTAATATTAATGTGCACTCAATTGGATTATTATAAAATAAACGTTTTTATTCTACTTTTGGATTTAATTTTGACTCAAAGCAATGTGTGATTTATCAAATGGCTCTATCCAATTTACAAATACAATATCTTATAGCTCCCTCTGATCTGAGAATATATCAAATCTTGATATTGAAAAATTAAATATTTAGCTAAATTCCTAGGAAATAAATGTATCTGAGAAGGCCAATTAATTTCAGAATTTAAAGGGTATGAATGAAAGATTCATTTTTATACATAATCCTCCATGAAATAGAGTGGAAGCATTGCTTTCTTTAAAATATATTTCATGTTTTCCAAATTATTATAATTATTATATATTTTGGCAATGATAACTATTTACAAGCACAAATGAAAGGACCTTTTCTTCATGACTATCAAATTATAAAATGATTGAATAACCTCGTTTTACTCATTGAGACTAATCCCCAACACTAGTGGTTAAAAAGCAGAAGTCGGAGCCGAAAAATTGGCTTAAGCTCAAGCCTGCTCAGGAGTTAGCTCTAGTCTAATTTTGAGCCAAAATTTATAAGAATATAATAAATATCTAAAATTTGTGTACCATGCCAAGTTTTCTCATATATATTAATATATTTTTTTTGTTTTTAAATTTTTTTAAAGGGATTTATTTATTTTATGTTTTTTTAATAAAAAAAAATGATATGCTGCTATTGTAATATTATTTTTGCTACAATTTATTAGTGATTTTCATGCTCAAAATTTTAAGCAAAAAATATTTTTAGAAGTTCAAAAAGATTTTTGAACCTATTTTGATTTGATAAGAATTTTAAATCTTGTTCGTAAATAAATCTTTTTTGAGGAATTCTTTTGTGATCTTTTATAGTTTTTTTAATCATTTTTGTAAAATTATTTATTTTTTAAATATATTAAAAAGAGATAGATTTTTCTAAATAGTTTTTTTTTAAAATATTTATATTAAACTTTTTTATGTTATCTTATATGATCTTTTTAAGGATAATATTAATGTGACAATTGTCATTAACGTTATTTTATAACATTTTTGAAATTTTTAAAAATATATTTATATTGTAAAGATTTTAAATTATAAATTCATTGAAGATGTTCCTTGGAAAAATGACAATTATCATAATTGGTATTTTTAAACATATTAGATTTTTTTGATGCTAATGGGCAAAAATATGTATTTTTAACATGTTAAATTAAAATTTCAATTAAGATGCAACATATAAAAGTGACAAATATCATAATTGTTATTTTTAAAGTTTTTTAAATTTTTTTGACTTAAATGGTCTAAAATAAGTTATTGCTAACATGTTTAAATAAAACTTCAGTGAAGATGTACCCTAGATAGATGACAATTGTTATAATCCTTATTTTTAAAGTGTATAATTTTTTTAATGGAAATGGGTAAAAATATAGGTTGTGTAAACATGTTAAATTAAAACTTCAATGAAGATGTACCTTAGATTGACAATTGTCATAATCGTTATTAAAGTTATAGATTGTAAACATGTTAAATTAAAATTTCAAGATGTAGCATAGAAAAGTGACAATTTTCATAATCGTTATTTTTAGAGTTTTTTTTAATATTTTTTTGAGAAATCATTCAAAGATTTTGTTTAAATTTTATTGAAATAATTCAGAAAAATCACAATCTTCTTTCTTTAACTTTCTTATTTTTTTTATGAGATATATGATGGTACCATTTGGCAAAACAAAAAAAAACAAATGACAATTTTCATGCTCATAATCGTTGTCCCTTTTATCTTGCTTAAAATTTGATAAAAATATGCAGTGATTACTAAAGAGAGTTGTTACTCAAAGTTAAATTCTAAACTTTTAAGATATGGATTCACAATCTTATTCCTTTAATTAATAAATTTTAATTATACATCTATTAAAATGTATAACCCTGCATTCACAGTTAGCAAAATTTTTTGTATACTCACGGGAAATCGTGCTGAGTCTGAATTCAGGGTAAGATTTTTATAAAAAGAACATAAAAACCATATAACATGTTTTGGTTTAAAATATATATTTTAACCCATTTACGTCAAAAAAATTCAAAAAACTTGAAAAATAACGACTATAATATTTGTCACTTTTCTATGCTACATCTTGATGAAATTTTAATTTATCATGTTTACTATATTTTTACTCATTTGCTTCAAAAAACTTTAAAAATAACGATTATGACAATTGTCAATTATCTAGGGTACATCTTCACTGAAGTTTTATTTGAATATGTTAGCAATACTTATTTTAGCCCAATTACGTCAAAAAACTTTAAAAATAACGATTATGATAATTGTCACTTATCTATGGCACATCTTCACTAAATTTTTAATTTAATATGTTAGCAATACTTATTTTTGCCCATTTCCGTCAAAAAAACTTAAAATAACGATTATGACAATTGTCACTTTTATATGGCGTAAACATGTTAAAAATACATAAAAAATTATTTAGAAAAAACCACTTCTTTAATATACTTAAAAAAATAGATAATTTTACAAAGATGATAGATTTCACCTAAAAGATTGTTTATTTATAATAAAATTCTCAAAACAATTCTTCAAAAAGGATTTATTTTCTAAGTGAATTTAAAATTCTTATCAAATCAAAATATGTTCAAAAATCTTTTTGAACTTAAAAAATATTTTTTGCTTAAAATTTTGAGTGTGAAAATCACTAATAAATTGTAACAAAAATAATAGGCACGTGAGCTACCTAAGAGTTCTGGAGCCCACTCATGTGGCTCAACGATCCAACAGGAGACAAAATTTATATATTATAAGGTAAAATCTTTGTTGATAAGATAGAAATATCAATAATCAACTCATACGATTGTAAGATGCTGGTTAGACATAAAACACCATTAAAAAAGTCCGGAACTGACCGGCTCTGAATATATAAAGCACGGACTATGTCTAAATATTTTATGAAAGTTCCTAGCTAGGCCTAATTTTTTTTAAAAATAAAATCCGGGACGATTTCTTTTTTAAAAATTCGGGCCATGCAAATGATACCTCTGCAGCTATCTGATAAAATAATTAATATTAATATTTTAAAAAACCACATTTAAAAATTCATAAACAATACTTAATATTAATAAAAACCACCTTTAAAAATGTTTAATAAAAAAAATTAATTTATTTACATCAAATTTTATGGAAATGTAAAGAGATAAAAAAAAATTAATTAATATTTACAACAAATCTATGGAAAATATAAAGAAATAAAATGTTGACTTAATGAAGGATTATTTCTCAAAATATTTTTAGTATAAAATATGATGTAATGTAGGCTTGGAAACAGAAGGTCCCAGGTTCAACTAAAAATTTTCGAGTTTTTCTTCGATGACGGATGTGTATAGACATATAATATGATGAATTTCTGAGTTAAGAAATGCCACCCCGGTCACCGACAGGCTTGGACAGCCGGGTGCTAGGATACTTGTCCAATAAACCAAATAAGACGGCCAGCTGAACTCGTGGGTCATTAAAGGATGATAACGATTTCGTGGCCAGCGCTAGGATAATGGTGACCTCGGGGGCCTTTCAAGCTCAATGTCTGTCAAGATACAATGAACTTCATAACGATACTCCGTTGGGAGATCCATCGGGGATTGATACTTCGGTGGGAGATATGTAATCGATAAGAATACTCCGGTG